CGACACACACACACACAACAGAGCAGTATGGCTGTAGCAGTAGGTGAAGGATGCCCCCGAACCCTATTCCACTCATTAAGGCTCCTGTAATATTACATCAACAATAGCAGTAGCCGCCATCAGTATCTTCATACTCCAACTGAGTCGAAAAGACTTGAGTCTGGCTTGGGCTTGGGAATCCATACTTGGAGGATCATGGGACATAGTAACTGGGGCGATTATTAAGGTAACCAAACTTATAATTACTCCCAATGAAGGTACTTATAACCAGACTAAGTCCCATGACCCTCCAAGTATGTTAGGTTTGTGTTTCGGGTTTGGCGGTTTGCAGCTTCGGGTTTTAGGATCCAGCGTTTAGGTCGCAACTAGCACCTCAAAAACTGACTCCAGATTCCGCCGAGGCCTTCCGACAACCACACAGGCCGGGAGTAGGGCCTCAAGCCTGTTTGCAAGAAGTTTAACCCAAAAACACTAGGTGACATTCACAACTTTACTGCCTTCAACCCTAAACTCTGAGCCTTAAAGCCCTAAGCTCTAAGCCTTAAAGCCCTAAGCCCTAAACCCTGAGCCTTAAAGCCTGAAGCCCCAGAGGGAGGGATTGGTGTTGGGGAAGGCTGGGTTGGGCATGGAGGAGCGGTGATCTCCTTCCCTTACATGGCTTCACCGTGGGTCTTTAGGGTTTAGGGGTTTAGGGTTGGAATACCCATAGGCCCCATAGTTGTTCCTTTTGGGGACTATCTTATAAGATTCTAGATATGACCGCCGAAAAGGAACTACTATGGAGCCTGTGAGTAATTAGTAGTACCTTCTCTGTGTATTGGGTCTCACGCGGATTCACAGAAGGTTTGACTTGTGCCAAACAGTGTGGCTCCTTCTGCGGGCTTAACTCTTGAGGCTCCCAAAACTACCGCGTGAGCACAACAATCCTAGTAGTAGAGTAGGTAACCTGTAAGCTTTTTTGGGTAGTATAGCCGCTATACAAGCCCTATATAATCAAAAGGTTAACCTTTAGTTCCCCATGATAGCCGACAAGTAATCACTGCGCACAAGACTGTGGCAGGAGCGCGATCAGTAACGCAGAGCACATTTGTAAACTTGTACTGGAGTTCGATGGCTTCGTTGTGGGCTGATGCCATGCCAGTGCCGCATAAATACTCTAACAGGAACACGAACCCAGCATCGGTATCATCAGAGTTGAAGTAAATAGCAAAAGTTCTTAGATCTCCAATACCCAACCTTCAGACTTTTTGGGTTCTTATAGTTTAGTAGGAAAGTTTTACCTTTTATTTATGTGGCTTATTGGGGAGGAAGAGTTTGATGTGTTCCCATGACACGTTCAAGCATCAACGCCAGCGCCAACACTTTATTTACACCCCCCTAAACCTCTAAAACTTCTGGACTCTATCTGGGTGGCTGTCAAAATTCTGGTCCATTTTTGGTCCCTGATATAATACCGCACCTACTACTTAGGGTACCCAAAAAGGGACCCTCGGCCGGAACCTTCCTCGAAAGCCTCTCTGCTGGCCAGTCAGCGAGTTCTGCGAACTGCACGGTGAACAGCATCGTGAGTCTGAGATGAGCGGTTCAGGGTTCATGGGTGAGGGTTTTGGGGTTTAGCGTTTAGAGCTGGGCTATATGTCAGTGTAAGCCCCAGGAACCCTAAACCCCAAAGTTAAAAGAAGCACGCAGACTTGGTCCAATGGTCATCAAACTGTAAGTAAGCCTAAGCAGAAGGGTACAGGACTGGTTTAGAACTGATTTCATAGGTTCGAGTCTCAGGGCAGTTTATGGTCACTTACTAAACCTATTGTTCTCAGACCCGTTATGCAAACAAAACCAACACAGAAATCATGCAGACCTCCTCAATTACAAAACAACAGGGCTTCGTTCTCTAAAATAGGGTCCCCGTTCAGGTCCCAAAAAGTCGTACGACACCCTTATAAAAGGACACTAGAAGGCACCCTAATTTAGAGAACTACCGACATGGCGTGATCACTCTGTGACCCCAGATTTTGATGTCTGAAGTAGGGATTGGGGTTTAGGGTCGATGTGCGGTGTTGGAATGAGGCTTTAGGCTAGTTACTCGTAGTGATTATTACTAGTGGTACGCTTATCTATACTGAATACCATCATCGTTATTATTCGGTGTTCCTAGTGCTGTTGTCGTTAATCGTGTTTGTATCGGTGCTGTTACCCTATGCTTCCAGGGACTAGGGCCCTACTTGGAGGATCATGGGGCTTAGTAAGTATGGTTACAAGTATCCAATTGGGCTTCTAAGTTAGTAGTATAAGTATAGTTACCCCAACAATAACCCTAGTTACTAAGCCCCATGATCCTTTAAGTAGACCCTAGAACCCCCCCTTATAGAACCTTTATAGATCCCTTTAAAGGAGCCCTTTAAGGAACCCTTTAAGGAACCGTACTTACTAAGTCCCATGATTCTTTGAGTAGGCCCCTGAGTGACCCAGAACTGGAAGCCTCGGGATCCTCTGGCCCTGAATCATGGGACTTCGTAAGTACGGTTCCTTAAAGGGCTCCTTAAAGGGATCCTTAAAGGGCTCCTTTAAAGGGGTCTCTAAAGGTTCTATAAGGGGTGTTAAAGTCTACTTAAAGGATCATGGGGCTTAGTAAGTACGGTTCCTTAAAGGGCTTCTTAAAGGGATCCTTAAAGGGCTCCTTTAAAGGGGTCTCTAAAGGTTCTATAAGGGGTGGTTCAAGTCTACTTAAAGGATCATGGGGCTTAGTAAGTACGGTTCCTTAAAGGGCTTCTTAAAGGGATCCTTAAAGGGATCTCTAAGGGTTCTAGAATGGGAGGATCATGGGACTTAGTAACTAGGGTCGCCTAAAGGGCTCCTTTAAGGGATCTGTAGGGGTTCTATAAGGGGGTTGTAGGGTCTACTTCAAGGATCATGGGACTTAGTAAGTACGGTTATTCTGCTACAGGTAGCTATACTCATAATTTCTTATAAATTATACCCACTTAGTAAGTGCGGTTACTATGACAGGTAACCATAAGCACTTCTAAATTATACCCCAATTAAGGTACTTATACCCATACTTACTAAGTCCCATGTTCCTGCATAATACACCCCTTATAGATCCATTTAAGGAACCCTATTATAGAACCCTATAGTACCCTCAAAGGGAACCCATAACCCTACTTACTAAGTCTCATGATCCTTTAAGTAAACCCCGAAACCTCACCTGTAGATCCCTTAAAGGAACCCTTAAGGATCCCTTATAGATCCCTTTAAAGATCCCTATAGACCCCTTTAAGGATCCCTTAATGATCCCTTTAAAGGAGCCAAGTCCCATGTAACCGCAGACACCAGAGAGGCCTCGATCTCCTCCGAGTGAACAACGCTTTGCAAAGCCGTAAAGGGCTCCTTAAAGGGATCTGTAGGGATCCTTAAAGGGATCTATAGGGATCCTTAAAGGGATCTATAGGGATCCTTAAAGGGGTCTATGGGGTTTAGGGTTTCGGATGCCGGTGGCAAGTTGATTCTAGGGACCTCGTCTGGATGGAGGTTAGGCCTGAATGGGCTTCGGTTGCCCTGCTAAAGAGCGTTGTGAAGGGTTCTAGAGAGGTTTTAGAGCGCAGCTGTATAGGATCTTCAACAGAGCTACATCTGGGCTTTGGCGAGTTTGGCACAGCGATTGTGATCCCAGGATCTACATACTTGGGGTCCCTTTAAACCCTAAACCCTGCACCCTAAACCGTAAGCCGCTGTCGTGGGCAAAGAACCCATGACGGACCCAGAGAGCCCAATACCCCTTAATTAAGGAATATGGCTTAAATCTTAATATGAAGCCCTATAAAATTTAAGCCATATTCCTTCATTAAGGGGTATTGGGCTCTCTGGGGAGTCTCACCGGACTTGGGTCTGGCTACAAACGCCGATGCCAGCCCCTTGCCCTGACTACGCAGCCACTCCGAAGTTGCAGGACAGGGGTTTAGGGATTAGGGTCTATAGGGCTTAGGGTTTAGGGGTTTAGGGTTTTAGGGGTTTAGGGGTTTAGGGTTTGAGGGTTTAGGGTTTAGGGGTTTCGGGTTTAGGGTTTAAGGTGTACCCAAAAACCCTACCGTCTTAGCCTGGAGTCAGGCACACGATTAGTGAATACTCGTGCTACAGAGAGTTACAGGAGCCCTCTGCAAGTAGAAGCCTCTGTGAACAGGTCCATGTTGGCTGCCCCGTGGCGCTTTAGGGACTTAGGGTTTAGGAAGCTCAGGATGGGCGCATAGATTTTAGACGGTTGATGAGATAAATCCTGCATTACCTTAAGGATCGATCCGAAACTATGGGAATTATGGAATATTCCTGACTATGGGTAATGCAGGATTTATATCATCAACAGTATCAGTAATATTTTTGTGAGTTCAGGATAACCCTCAACCCTAGACTCTAGACTTATTGAACTACTATTCAACCTAAACCCTGAAACCTCATGCCCCAAACGCTAATCACTGATCACCATGATCTAGAAGACTGAGAGCCCGAGCAGTCCCAAATTCCGAAGTTGCACCGAAACTCCTAAAATCCTGACCTATGTTGTGGCAGCAGCCGCCGCTGGGCCGGTAGTGGTGGTAGTAGTAGTAGTAGTAGTAGTAGTAGTAGTAGTAGTAGTAGTAGTAGTAGCAGTAGTAATAATAATAGTATAGTAGTAGTACTACCGACGCCCCCACCCTACACCATCATCCTCAACGATTGTGTTGGAGACTATTTAACTGGTACTGCTACGTTTATTCTGTCCCTAAGCAGACGCCAGAAAGTTGGACATCGCTATCCCCATGCCTTTAAGTTGAAGTACACAGGGTCTCAGCGCTAGTCATCCTAAATCCAAATTCCAACTTTTTGGTGTTCGCTATAAACTAACTCAAACCCTCTATAATTATACAAGATTGTAAAATTAGCGATGCTACTTACGAAGTCAATCATGTCATACTATCAAGTCCCCTCGCCACCGCACCCTAAAACCTAAACCCCTAAATCTGCTGCAGGCAAACTGCTTGTCCTTCCGGCAGATGCAGACGCTGCGCCAGCGCAGAGCTCAGCCCGACAGATTTAATGTAGGGGCCTGATTAATTAATTACCTATACTATTTTCAGGGTTCCTTGTTACAACTATGGTATAATGACCCCAAAACCCTTTTCTAATTATTAAGTTCCCTGTATTGGGGGGTCAGGATTTATGATTTGCCATTCAGGTAGTCTAGAGCCCCTTTCGCTTGATTCGGCATCGCACATCAGCACATCCGTGGCTATCAATGTCACAACGACTACTGCTCCTGCCTTTTATGCCAAGCTCCCTGTGTTTATCGCTTGCATCAAAGAACACCCTCATAAAAGCATTTTAAAACCACTAAAGACCAGTATGCAACCCGTATAAAAGCCATTAGGGTAGTTGTCAAAATTAGGGTCCCTTTTTGCGTCCCAAATACAGTGCGGCACCTAAATTTTGACAACCACCCATTAGAACATTGAAGAAAGGCTCTGAGAAGTTGCCAGGACCTCGGCGAAGCTTCGCGGCGAGCTGCGAGGCCCGGAGATCCACCAGGGATCGTGTCTTCCATGCGGGTGGTTGTCAAAATTAGGATCCCTTTTTCGGTACCCTAAATATTAGGTGCCGTATTATGTTAGGACAAAAAAAGGGACCCTAATTTTGACAGCCACCCAAGTATTCTCGGGTGCGGGGGGGGGGGGGGGGTAAGCCTCAGTGCTCCAGATTTGCTGAATGGCCTCAGGGTTGTCTGTATAGGTTGTGTTCTGCTACCGCGACATCGACGACAACTACTGCCTACTACCAATATTAGTACTACCAGCAGTACTGGTATGTACTACTATGTACTAGTGGTAGTACCCCCAAAGCCTAAACCATCCTAAAACCATAAACCCTGAACTCTGATCCCTGAGCCCTAAACCATCCTAAACCCCAAACCCCAACCAATAATGGTGCTTGGACCTTCAGGGTTTCCTTGAGAGGGTGGCCACAGCTTCCCAAGGCTGCACATTGTGGGACGAGGGAGCAGACCGTTCGGGACCTCAGCTGTGGTTTCAGGGTTTTGGGTTTTGAAGTTTCGGGTTAGGACTTAGGTTTAGGGTCAGGATTTAGGGTTTGAGGTTTGGGTCGAGGGGTTGGTTGCCTAGAGCCTTTGGTATCTGCCTGGTTAACGCCTGCAACGTGGTACTATAGGGGTCTCAGCAATTGGAAAAATGTCCGGAATACGAATATCCCCTGGCGGTCGTCTATGTACACCGTAATATCCCCCAAACCCTGCTCCTATCATGAATCCTAAACCCCTAAACCCCACACCCCTAAAACCCTAAAACCCTCAACCCGTCAACCCCAAAGCCTTAAACCCTATTATTAATTATAGATCCCTTCAAGGAGCCCTTATAGATCCCTTTAAAGGAGCCTTATAGATCCCTTCAAGGAACCTTACAGATCCCGTTAAGGGAGCATGTCACGGTGGCATCTCTTCAAGAAGCCGTGAGCCTCGAAGCTACTTAAAGGATCATGGAAGTTAGTAGCTAGGGTGCCCTTAAGGGCTCCTTTTAAAGGGATCTATAGGTGTTCTATATAAGGGGGTTAAAGGATCATGGAACTTAGTAACTAGGGTTATTACTAAGGTAGCTATACTTAAAAGTACTTATAACCCCAATTAAGGTACTTATAACCACAATTACTAAGTCCCATGATCCATGTAACGCTGAGCTGAGGCAATGGCGAGGACACGTCTCTGCTTCTGGCGGCGGTCTGTGCTGGTGCGCTAGGGCTTAGGGGTTTAGGGTTTGGGGGTTTAGGGGTTTAGGCGTTTGGGGTTTAGGGTTTAGTTAGGGTTTAGGGCCAGCTCGAGATTTTCCAAAAGCCCTGGATCGAGGAACATACCCTAACATATACTAGGATCCTTAATGAGATTAAAGGCATATTCCTTAATTCAGGGATTTTGGAAGGAATGGGTTCCTGTTCCGATATCAGTAGCCCATACTTGTAATTGACAGCATTATTATCCCTACTCTGATGTTAAGGTTCATTAAATATTTGGGAGTGATGTGATCGTAAGGTATTGTGTATCGTTCGATCTATCTATCTACTTGCCTCAGTCTACGGCCATACGAATCTACCTCTCTGTCCATCCATCTATCCATCCATCCATCAATCCATCCATCCACCCATTCCTCTACTTAAAGGATCATGGGACTTAGTAACCAGGGGAATTATTGGGGTAACTATACTTATAATTACTTATAACGCAAATTAAGGGGCTTGCAACCATAGTTGCCAAGTCCCATGATCCTCTACTTATAGAGCCCTTCTAGATCCTTTAAGGAACCCTATTCAAGAACCCTATAGTGCCCTTAAAAGGAACCCTAAACCCTACTTACTAAGTCCCATTCCTCTACACACCCGGCCTGCCAGTCAGCCAGCCATCCGCCCGCCTCGTTATTTTGCGCTGTTCTTTCTTCCAGATGTCGGTGGTTGTCAAAGTTAGGGCCTGCCGTATTCTTAAGGGCCCAAAAACGGACGATGTTTGCGGCTTGAGAGTTGTGGACTATAGCCTCAAAGTGACGGATGTAGACGTTAACTGGGCTTCGGAGTACCATACTTTAATTCGTTCTTCTTAAAGGAACCATTGTGAAATACAAGTTTATATTTTTCTAGTGGTCTGCATAAGGCCCACTGAAACTCACGGCAACCTGACAAGCTGAGAACCCTCGGAGTACGGTAGCTCATGTGGTACTATAGGTGCCGTAAATGATTGTCAATACCATTTTGGGGGTTCTTATAACTATAGTTTTTTGGGCCCCAAAACACGATTCTAATTATTCAGGCCTCTATATTAGGTTGCTGGCTTATGGATTCTATGAAGGCTACAAGGTTATATGGGCAGTTCACTAAATTCGGTCCACTTTTAGGGTCTTTTTTATAGGGGTGTCGCCTTCTTTTGGTTGCTACAGAGGGACACTAATTTATCAGGTAGGCATTTTGGATATTGTATATTATCCCTTATTGGGCTTAATAGGACCCTATTTACGAATATTTTTCAGAGGCTTTAAAGGGCCAACCTAGTTTGGAGAGCTACCGTATAGAGGATAGAGGAGCTAAGGGTTAGTGATGGTTAGTGTCCCAATACTACGCAAGTGATTCTGTTTGTTCTCGAGGCTCGGCGTCTTTTGCAAGGCTTAGTTAGTAGTAGAGTAGGTGGCCTTGAATATTTGGGGTATTATAACCCCTGTATAATCGCAAAGGTTAACCTTGAGTTTTCCTTAGGTACTGGACAAGGCCTGATTCTGCATCGCAGATCTGCTCATACCAGGGCTGCTTCGAGGGGCAGAGGACTTAGTAAGTAGTAACTAGCTTATGAGTAGCGTTGTAAGTACCCTAAATGGAGTTAACGCAATTTATAACCCTCTGTATAACCTACTTAGTCGACCCTAAACCACCCCATAGATCCCTTTAAGGACCACTATAGATCCCTTTAAGGAGCCCTTTAAGAGCCCCGCTATAATCATTAACAATTACCACTGCTGTCGAAGGTCTTTTTCCCAACCTCGCCCTTCGGCGCGGTGGCCGCGGAAAGCTCGCGGCCCAGAGTCCGGCCTGACTATGTCAGGTTTCGGGATCCTTTCCTTCTTCCTAGTAGGGTTAGGGTTCCTTAAAGGGCTCCTTTAAAGGGATCTATAAAGGTTCTATAAGGGGTGTTAAGGTCTACTTAAAGGATCATGGGACTTAGTAACTAGGGTTAGTATTGGGGTAACTACACTTATACTTACTTCTAGACCCAACTAAGGTACTTATAACCATAGCTACTAAGTCCCACGATCGCCTTCTACGAACTTGAGGCTTGACGCGGAGTATGACCTCGAGAACGCCCCCCACAGTTCGGCTGGAGCAGGTGATGCAGATCTCATGGGCAATCCCGGAGGGGGAGTTGCCTGGAACCAGGAACGGTGGCATGCCCCGAACACGCCACCTGGAGTCCAGGCATGCACACCTCACATGCCCACAACTCCTCCAAACATTCATATCCCTTTCACGGGCACGCCTCCTCTCTTGAGCCCCCATCCTGCTGTGGTGGGTTTAGAGTTTACGGTTCAGAGCTTTGGTCTTTGGATGTCTTCGGGTTTTGAAGGTTGAGGGTTTGGGTCATGCTCTGTGTCGCGGGAAATCGTCAACCTCCCCTTGGCTTCTACACTCCCCCCTACAGCCCTTCCCCGCGACCAGCAAACAAGTCTACACACCTCAACAACCCAAATCCTATAGAATTCTGATAGAACCCTGTTATCCCGTGAGATCTGCCAGATCCATGCACCTAGCTGTCACGGAGGTCTGAGGTTTCAGGTGAACAATACCGGGGCCTACGAACTAATATTGCATTATCCCGTGGGCTCCCATATTCCTTTGGGATTGAGGGTTTAGGGTAGGCCTTCGGCTTCCTTGCGATAGTTCCGGAAGAATATGTCCCGACAGCCTAGTCCAATTCATCCCACCCCTGTGCTAGAACGGCGGAACCCATTTTCCGAGCCCACAAACATCGAAACTCGTTGCCCTAACTCACTTCACAGGCGTAGGACGAGTCTACGTACACACACACACACACACCACCTCTGGTGGAGCCCTAAGGTGCTAAACCCAGTACTCTACACTTCGAACACCCTAAACCCTGTAGTGGAACCCTGGACGGAGCCCTTAAACCCTTCCTCGAGTCACCGATGTACCTAGAAAAGACGCACAGGACCCTAAAGAAGAGGTATACGTGCCTTTTTTGGTACCTTAGTTACTCTAGGCAAACCCCAACCGAGCTCCTGTAGGAGCCCCTGACTACAGCCTTTTAAGGTCCAAATGGTGCCCGGGTTGAGGATAGTAGTAATGGAGGTTAGTATTCGGGAGAGTATACTAGGTATCGATTAGGGATATTTCCAACCTCCTTTATCGCTTAAAATTAGAGCCCTAACTGCACATACCTTTGGGGACCGTGGAGATCGTCACCTACTATATGGTTCTCAATCGTGAGTTCTAGACCCGTAAACCGAAACCTACCCCAAAGTCACTCTAAAACTCTAAGATGGAAGCCCCGAGACCCCACAACCCCGAAACCTTACAATCTAAACTTTAAGCCCTACCTGGACCCTACAGAACCTACCACTTTAGGGCTCCTTACTATGGCGAGTTCCGTATAGAAGTCCTTAGAAGCGTAGGTTCTTCAGGGTAAATGGACGTCTTAACCTTATACCCTAAGCCCTAAACCCTCAATCCTTAAACCCTAAACCCTATATCCCTAAACCCCAAAGCCCTGAACCCTATAAACCCTAAATGAACCCCTTAGGCTTAAAAGAGCCCAATACCTCCTAATTAAGGAATATAGCTTAAATCATAATATGAAGCCCTATATAATTTAAGCCATATTCCTTAATTAAGGTGTATTGGGCTCTTTGGGAATACTGGAAGGACTCCTACTTTCCCTACTTTAACCTACCAAGACCCAATTACTCGGTGCTCGCTGGGCCCTTAGGGTTAAGAGAGCCCTTGAGGTTCCAAGTGAACGGCGGTCGCTTGGAGGCCGTGCCCGGATACCCGGATCTTAGCTGGGCCCGAGACTGTTTAAAGGGTGAGGGTTTAGGGTTTATTTTAGGGTTTAGGGTTTAGGGTTTATTTAATCTATATAAGGGTTTAGGGTTTAGGGATTCAAGCTTGGATCCCGAATCCGGATCCTTTTACTAGGCCCCCCCTTTTGCCCTTTCTTTTGTAGGGTCTCCTTATTAAGACTGAACTCTTAGCTGGGCCCGAGACTGTTTAGGGTTGAGGGTTTATAGGGTTTGGTTAAGGGTTTAGGGGTTTATTACCGGTGACCTCAGGGAGCGGATTTTGTGATAAGCGACAGCTGCTTATGCGCTGTGCGCGCCATTTCCCAGGCCGCGCTTTCTTGATTCGACCGCCAGTAGCTGCGCTTTTTTCTTTTGTCTACTATCAGGACAACAACGAGCAAGACCGCGAGGGGAAGCTCTCCCAGTCCCTCCTCCCTCTGCCGGTGTGTCCGGCATGGATGGGGCCAGGGATTTGGGAGAGACAACTTCTCTTGGCACCTTTGGCGGCATTTGCCCCAAGGTGCCAAGAAAGTGGTCGTCGTTTGCTCCGGTGCGTACTGCCACTTGACATTTCTTGACTAAACGTTTCGACCTTCATGCATGCTATACTTGCTTTTGCCAGGGAATGACATCACCTGCGGCGAGGAACCATCCTACGTCGCCGACTGTATGCGGCGAATGATTGAGGCGAGCTTCTGTCTTTTTTGCCTAGAGCTCAAATGCCTCTCTCCCTATGCGCTCGTGTATATGCCGTCCCCTTCTTTGCAGGACTTTGCGTGGTATGACGTCGACGTAAAGGTCCTCGACGTCGTTCCGTCGAGGGACATACGGCCAACGCCGTCGCAGTGATTGCATATCAACCTTCGGCTTCTTAACTGGGACTATCATTTTAAAATAAAACCGCACACCAATAACTGTGCGTGTCCATGTGTGCACGACGACTTGTCTAGGCAGTGTCTACCTCTGCCAGGCGCATGTCCGTGTCTGGGTGTGTCTGTTTACATCGTTTACATCTGTGTCTGTGTGTCTTATAGTGTCCGTGTGTCTCTGTCTGCGTGTTTGTGTGTGTCCATGTGTTTGCCGGTGTTTGTATGCATGCGGGTATTCCCCTGTGCGTCTCTGCATGAGCAGGTGCAGGACTAGACAGCCATTTGACATTCGCACATGTACCGTCTGCTTTCGAGTGCTTCTTCCCCCACGGCGCGTCTGGGCTCATAGCACCTTCCTGAGTTGCGTGTGTAAGACACGGCTCTGCCCTTTATTTCCTTGCATCCCGTGCTAGCAGTATGTCGCGCGCTCTCATGTACGAGGCACCCATCTAGCGCATTTCCGTCGTTTCCTAGACCTCTTGTCACTGCCAGGCGATGCAGCCATACTTCGCAGCCTGCTGCGAAGAAGCAGCGCAGATTTTGGATGATGCCCAGGCAGCAGGCGGGCACCCTGCCCTACCGACGCCTTCAGTGAATGCATTTTTTGAGGTTTGAGTTTTGGACAGGGCACGCGTACAACGGTGGTGACAACTACCATCTTCATCCCGATGGTATGAAGCCGGTCTGCCAAGCGATTGCTGGCTCGCTGGAGGCGGCGACTGTGGATGTCCGTTAGGGCTTAGGCTCTATTCAGGGTTTAGGGTTTATTTAGGGTTTAGGGTTGAGGGTTTGGGGTTTAGGGTTTACTTAGGGTTTCCCAAACCGCCCTCGCCCTCGCAACCAGCCGAAGCACCCGCTCCAGCCGGTCCAGAGAGGGTAGGTAGGGCTCCATCTATACCTGGCTCTGTCAAGGGCTTTAGGTGCAATCATTCGGTAAGGTTCCTGATCCCAGTATAGTACACCCTAAAGCCCCGTTCACAGAAACCGACCCAAAAAGGACATAAGCATAAGCATTCCAGATGGGATATCCCGACCCTCATTTTGCTCATGTGCTTTTTTGAGGCCCGATAATAATGGCCAAGGCTTCCGTAAACCCTAAACCACCACATGGTCACGGCTTCTACATTCGGATTTTTGTCTGGAGGCCTTAGGGTGGAAGACCTTCGTTCGAGGATCTCTCAGGGTTTCGTCGTAGAGTAGGTGACCTTTAGCGGGTTTTGGGGTAATTTAAGGGGTTCCATAAGGTGTATTACAAGGGCTCCATAAGCATTCCATTCGTAGTAGAGTAACCTTTTTGATTTTGGGGCACTAGACAATAAGATGCTGACTAAAAGCTACCGCAAGAAAAACCCTAAGCCCCCAAACCCCAAATCGTTTGCTGCATTTACATTCCCTTGGGCATGGATGAAGCCTTCCTCAAGGCTTTGTGTAATTCTGTTTGAAACCTGTGTATGATTTGAAAACCCCTTCTCATGTGTTTACGCAGACAGAAATCAACAGACATCTATAAAGCCCGAGTGCAGATAGAAAGCTTGTAAGTTAAATAAGCTCGTCGCCCGAGGCCCCATCCCTCCAGCGTAGCATCCTTCAACGGCAAGGGTGCCGATTGGTGGGAAGGCAAACAAGATCGAGTTCTGATTCGACATGGAGTTTGTTAAATATGCATGCTCTGTGAGGATGTAAAACCTAGTGCGGCTGTCCTAAATTGATTATTTCTCCAGCACTTTCTAAGCCTTCTATACCGGCTGGATAGTATTCCATATTATGGGCTTTCAAACGGTTTCAACTATTCGTCTAAATGGGTTCGAAAAGATTCGAGAGATGAGTCATACGCATGAGCTTTTGGCGCATTGGGGCATATATATATATATATATATATATGGATGTACATTGTCGGCTAGGTGCATAATGGGAGATTTCTTGGGCATCGGGAACCCTAGAAGGGTTTTCTTGTGGGTCTACTTGGAGGGGCAGGGGGCTTAGTAAGTAGGTGATAAGTCGGGGTTTTAAGTGGGGTAAGTCCATTTAAGGTATTTGTTACTCTACTTATAATACCTACTTACTAAATCCCCTGCCGCTCCAAGTAAACCCTCAGTCCTAAACCCCATAGATCCCTTAAGGAGCCCTGCACATCCCTTAAAGGAGCCCTTAAGAGCCCTTGCTAAGTCGCCTGCCCCTCCAAGTAGGGCCTAGGGGCCTGGGACTTCAAAGGGTTTGAAGGTTTTTAAAGGTTGACTGGGTTGTGCTTTGGGATAATTCTTAATTTCCCTTATTTCCTCATAAAGGGAACCTAGAGCTAACGCACAGCCCAGGTGGGTTTTGCGATCATTGGGGCTCTACGGGTTAACCTTTGGATTTGGGTTACTTCGGCTTGCTCTTCGGCTTTGGGGCTAAGGGTTTAGAGTTTTCCGAGAGTTGGCGCCTTAGGGCTTCCGGGCCGGGCTTTATGTTTTATTTGGCAGTTTTGCTTTAAAGCTCTGGGGGCTAGAGGTTGAGCTGTTTCACGATCGGTGTTTTGTCAGTCGAACTGGCTACAGCAACACTTTTCTGTCCGCGTGCGTCGTCCGGCACACCCTGAACCGTACAATGCCCCATCTGAACCCCGAACCCTAAGTTTCAGCCGCCGAAAACCCTTTTAACCCAAACCTTCAACCTCAACTTAAGCTCCGCAAACCTATTAAGCCAATCCCTAAAGACCTTACCTAAAGCCCCCAAAGTAAGTAAAATTATGTCCCTACACCTATAAACGGTTATTATTCTACATACCTTTGGGTCCAGGTATAACGGCTCCGGAAAGCCCCTGCAGACCCTTCACAAAACCCGAGGCAGTCTTCGCACAAAGGCTTGAACAGGTAGCGATAATAGGGTTTAATTTCGGGATCGTGAAGAATTAAGACACCTTTTCCCATGTATAACTAATTCTATAAAATACCGAAAGGACCATATTGTAGTTCTGAAGTTTGTTATTGAAAGCATTGGCCATCTAGTTCTACTGGAGAGTGGTTGCTGAAGGATCCATGAGCACAGAGCAAAACATATAAACAGGGGTCGGGACGTGAGATTTGGTTTCAACTATTCAGTACTTGTCCAGGCTTCTCTATAGTGCAATTGCAATAATACTGACAATGACCCTGCAGAACAATATTGATATTTGGTTCGGGCTTTCTATCTCAATTTTCTGATGGTGCACCGAGTTGCTTCACGGGACATCAGCCAGGCGAAAGGTAGCCCCGGCGAGGGCCGCCACCGCAATGACAGCGATCGTGAAGTTCAAGATTCAGATGACTGTTGCTATGACAGCACTATCAGCCAGGGCGCAGGGTAGCCACGGCAAGCACTATCAGCTAGGCGAAGGGTAGCCGCGGCCAGGGCAGGCATGACAAGGCCAGCAGTGACTTCAGGTCGCAGGACAAGGGCCGCCATAAGGGCCACAAGGGGTTGGCAACCAAGTTCAACGCAAAGAGCCGGAAGGCCAAGGATCGTCAAGACGGCAGTGACTACATCGGCAGGGCGAAGGGCCCAGCACGTAGCCGGAACCCAATTCGCCGTCGCTCATGTGCATTCAACGCAGCGGCAAGGCCAGGTTCAAGATTGCGACGGGGTGACGGGCCGAGAGGTCTCAGATCTCGCAGCGGCAGGGTTTGAGGTCTCCTCGCCCTGCCGCCTGGCAGGAATTCCCTTCTTCGGGTTGCCGAGCAGTATGCTTGGCTGGTCCACGACAACGTGGACGGTTTTGAGGAAACCCTAAAACCCTAAACCCCAAACCCTAAACCCTATATAGATCCCTTCAAGGGCCCCTTGTAGATACCTTTAAGGAACCCCAAAAAAGAGCATCATGGAAGATTCGCTGCCCGAGTGGTACAGCATTGAAGTCCTCCATGGACGCCCGTGCCGAGCTGGTTGGGGCCATGAGACACGAAACACATCGTAGCGGTGCGGAAGACAGGTGTTGATGAAGTAGGCGTTAGGGCTGGTGTTCCACAGTTTAGGATTTATTCCGGGCTGCTCTAGCATATGCAAACACATCAGCGGAGAGCTGCATGTGTGTGTGTCCTTTTGAAATAGGAGAGTCCGACTGATTTGAGTGTTGACACGCCCGTGACTTCCACGACCATGCGATACATACATAATTACATACCTACCTGCGTACATGTGTATGTACAGTCATACCAGACCTACATATTCTCGTACCCACATACAGTCACATACATATACATTTAGATATACATACACATATACATGCGCACATTCCTCCATAAATACATACATACATACATGTTCACATATGTACATACAAACGTACATACACGCATATATGCTGAAATGTTTGCATGCATACATACATGCATACGTACATACATGCAAAAGAGCATAGCAACGCAGAACAAATACAATGTTTGTTTGCATGTGTGCGTACATATAACTGTTATATGCACATATATATATATATATATACACACACACATATCGTGTGTTTGCTTATTCGTAGGGGAACTTGAGTTTGTAGCTTGCCCAACAGGACTTCACTGCAGCCTCAAGCCGAAAACCGGATAGTTTCATCCCTCTCAGAACTGTATGAAGCCTGGAAATCTATGTGGCTTGATAGCAATGGAAGTATCTTGTTAGCAACTCCACACCCAATATTCCACCGTACTGGTGCGAGCAGGCACCGGGAACGGCGCCCAGGATGTTGAGGGGGAAGGCAACGCGACGAACAATTAACGGGTTACGGTGTTGGCTCAAGGGCTTTAGGGCCTGCGCTGAGCTTGTTCGCTCTGGCAGTGTTCCTTCTTCTGGGTAGTGGTTCTTGCAGTGCAAATAATGTCTGTGGCCATAAGGCCAGCACTGACCATTAGCGCACTGACCTGTCAGCTATATCCTTATGATTCTGGTGATGGTGACTATGAGAATGCGGAAGAATAAGGTGAATGCTATCTTCATGCAAAAAGGCCATTGTGATCAAGAGATGATTTTTCAACAGTGATGTCAGGTTTATGGTCGTATAGGTAGTGGCACTCAACCACAGCGGCCATGACGAAAACAACTAATTACGACGATGCAGACGACACTTACTTGCGGTGTTGGAGTGTCTACTTGCTATTCATCATCAGTTGTTGGTGCCGTGCAGAATCCTGGTGCCTTAATTCGTTTGCGAGGCTTCCGAGTCTAGTGGAATCTTGACAACTGACGGGCTGGGTTGAGAGTTGGGGTTCAGGGCGGGAATTGAAGTCAGAGTTTTTGTTTGCCGTTGTTGATGATGTTATTTGGCTACCATTGCTCGTATTGTTGATCGCGCTTGAAAGTGGTTAAACTTGGAGGGGCATGGGACTTAGTAAGTAGGTTATAAGTAGAGTTATAAATACTCTAAGTGGAGTTTCATCAAGAAGAAGCCCTTTCAAACTACACTCTGGACCTGCTGAGTTCAATGTTTAGGCTCTCTGCGCTCAAGAAGCTCGACGACTTTGGGGTAAGGGGTTTTATGCTGTATAGGGTATAGATCAGTGTTTGGATGCTCGCAACTACCTGCTTACGGACATTGAAATGCCTTCATGCTTATATATCTGTATACAGCACGTTCTACGGGTGTGTCTGTACACACATGTATGCAGACACATTTGTTTTACTCATTCGCTCGTAACATAACACGAAAACAACATGCCGTCGTTTCGCTCCGCAGGTGGTTGCCAATGCCGGGGATTTCCGAGCGTTTCTTCCCTTGACTCCCTTGATGTGGGTTCTTTTCTCTCCACACTCTCTGTCTCTGCTCATTGAGTCTGTACATCCTAAACCCTATTGATAAAGGTTGCAGGCTCTTCATCTCGACTTCTGAATTTGCCCCTCGGGGGCAAGCCTAAAAGCAGATATCCACGCCGCCGGCCCGGCTACAGCTTTTGGCGGCAAGCTTGGGACCCTACAGAACAACCTTACACCCTTGAGCGTCAGCTCGAAGTTTGTTTGGGACCGGGTGGCAATGGAGGGTTGTCGATGCTTGTCCCCGCCATGTGGCCGAAGCTTGCGTTGGCTCCCGTTCGGGACCGGTTTGGGTCTTTGACCCTTGTGCTTGTCTCGCCCTGCCACAACCAGGTGCTGCTCTGGCTTGGCTTCAACAGATTGAGGTCAGGGTTGAGCAAACGTTAGAGTTTAGGGTTCAGGGCCTAGGGCCCTGACCAGCCATGCTCAAAGCATCTGTATTCTGCGTGCGCAAGCATCCGCACAGAAGGTGGCGCAGCCACTCAGGGGAAACGCCAGTAAAGCGCACCCCTCACTACATGCACCCGTAGTTGCTAGAGCCAAAGGTCGCTCAAAGGAGATAATAATGACACAACATAATTACAGCATGACAGCATGACAGAAAGCGACAGCGGAGCAAAAAGGCCGCGAACATTTTCAAACATCCAGCGCACAAATCCACTGGGAAAATTGCCACCCAAGCGCACCGCCCCTCACGCGGGATCTACTGCGTCTGCCTGCCTCCGGAAGTATGCCTGAATGCCCCGGCATTCCCGCTTCGCTGCCTGTAACTCCCCTTTGTGTACTCTTTTGCGATGTTCGCGCTGCCGAGTGAAACGCTAAACCCTTTACCCCCAAACCTTGAACCACCCCCCCAACTACCCTTTGTTGCAGCCCCTAGCTACTGCTTAGTGAGGAATATCTATCAGAGCCCTTCAAAGGGTCCAGGCAAACCCTTAACTTAAACAGATACCTTCCCACCCCATAAATGAGAAATATAGCTTAACATCATAATATGAAGCCCGATATAAGTTAAGCCATATTCCTAAATTCAAGGGTATTGGGCTCTCTGGGTTAAGCCCTTGGGAAACTTCCAGGCGGTCGTTCAAACGTCTGGGTTTGCTTCAACGAGCTGAGCCAGCTGGAGGAAACTCTGCCCGGTTTATGACTTTTGGGGGCTTAGGGGTTTGGGGTCTAGGGTTTGGGGTTTTGCGGGTTTAGCGTCTGAGCCATGGAGTTTAGAGGTTTATGGCTTTGGAGTTTCGGGTTTTGGGCTTTAGGGTGTAGGAGTTTGGGGTTAATGCCGACTCTTTCGTTTTCTCAGGCTGTTTGTTTTTAGCGGAGGGTCTCCTGCGAGAATGAGCATGCACAGAGGGTTTAGGGTTTGGGGTTTAGGTTTCGGGTTTATAGGGTTTAGGGTTTAGTATATCATAGTTGTTCCGCTGTTACTGAATGCTAGTAAGTACAGCCTGTAGAGGACACGGTGGTGATCAGTAGCGGCACCGGTGGTGTTGTTTCTTTTCATGACTACCATGGCCATCGACTTCGAAAGAATTACTTCCTTATTCCCCTGAACAGCACACACCCGAAATGCCCAACAGCCCAACAGCAAGCCTCGTTTGTTTAACAACCGGATTACACATGTAATCCAGCTATAATTGGCTTACTAAGCTTCCCAGTGCCTGCTTCCCATGTCGTGGGTCTTGGATTCGTTGTAAACTTGCCTGTACACCCCATACCAAAAAGGGAACCCTGTATTACTCCTGGGTTGCTGGGCTTCCTACTGTTGATGATATAACATAAATCTTGCATGATGAACTATGGGAATTATGGCATATTCCTTACTTTGGGTAATGCAGGTTTTACATCATCCACCCCAAACCCTAAACCCTATAGATCCCTTAAAGGCACCCCAAGAGATCCCTTCACAGGAGCCCGTAGTTTAATGAAGATGGCTATCGACTCCTCAGTCTTGGAGATCTTTTAGGAGGCGAGGTGCGGCTTGGGGATTTGCAGTGTAGGGCTTCAGGCTTTTAGGGTTTAGGGCTTAAACTTTAGGGTTTTAGGGTGTAGGGCTTTCGGGGTTAGGGCTTTAGGGCTTTAGATTGCACTCGCCCAAACATAAGCTTTGAGGTGGCATATCCGTATCCTATCTTGCTTAAACTCTTAGTTCCCCGTAGTTCCCCAATAGCCAACCTTTAAACTTTTCTGGTTCTTATAGTTCAGTACTTACCCGAAAGTTTAGCCATGTATTTCTGTGACCTATAGGGGAAGTAAGACCGTGGCGTTTGTTAAGGTCTCTATGGCTACGAGTTGACGGGTTCGTGAGAGTCGTTGTCGTACTTCGTATGACACAGGATAAATTTTCGGTGTAGGGTTAGGTTACAGTAACTTACAGGCGAGTTTAGTTTCAGATACCCGAGACCCTAAACCCGTCATCCCTTAAAGCGCTTATATACTTAAGCCCTACACACCACAAACCGTAAACCTTTATAAGCCCTAGACCTGCACCTTACTAATACTAAGCGCTTAACCCTAAAGCCTACATCCCTAATCCTGAAATCCCCCTAATCCCTATGAACCCTAAACCCTTTGAGTGTTGAACTCCAAAACCGAAACCCTACGCCCTAAACCCTGTAAAGCCTAAACTCTAAGCCCCCTGCCCCGGGAAATCTTAACAGCACACTAATCTTGTGGCCAAAATAGTTACACATACTACTATGACGCTTCCCTATTTCAATTATATATAGTATAGTATACCCCCAAACCGTATTTTTTGATCGAAAGGCCCGTATATTCAACAGGAGAACTACTCTCTGGCTGGCATCTCCCCAGCTCGAAGCAGCGCTGCATCCTCAGTAGCGCTGCAGTCGCTCAGGGTTCCTTTAAAGGGATCTATAAGGGATCCTTAAGGGTTCCTTTAAGGGATCTATGGGG